ATAAATAATATTTGGATAGTGTAGCTATAAAACTATGTTGCGACATTTAAGAATTATATGTAAATATTTCGGGCCTCGATAGTATAAACTTATAAATCGTGAATATTTTACTATTAAAATTCACGACTAAAAAAACATTTGGCCTTTTAACTATATTGTTAAAATAAATTTAAAAATGTCTCGACATAGTTTTAAAACTACTCTATTCTAATATCACTTGCAAGTTACACATTTTCTCGCGTTCCATACATGATATTTTATAAATTCGAAACAAATCAGTGTTTAAACCCATCATAAAAATAATGCATGAATATATGGAGATAGTACGATAAAAAAAAATAAATATTAGACCCCTATTGCTAAGCATTTGCGGGATCAGAATTTTGTGGTCTTCGATTTTACTAAAGCAATTGATGATCCTCTCGCAATTAGATTAGGTTGGAACACGCCCTTAAAATTGGATGAATAGGGTTCGATCCTGCCTTCTCGCACACAGTATATGCCTGAAGCCAGTAAAAAATTTCATGCTACATTACATATACAAAAATCGCATGCACGTTCATAATTCCAGTACATACATTATAAAATTTTAAACCCGCACCAGACAAACCTAATTATAATTTTGATATTTATTTAGTCACATTTGCAGTAAATCATTGCACAATTTTTAGACAGAATAAAATCATTTTAGGAAGAAGATTTGCTCTTAACGGCTAACGCTTTTGTTTCTTATGTCGATCTGGTGTTGGTGGATTCTGCTTTACTGTATGAACTTTCCGCTTGGCAAATAACTTATTTTTTTGGTCAGTATATAACTTGGGCTTTTCGATATTTTCTTTTATAAAGGACTAAATGTAAAACAATCATTAGAAGAAATAGTGAATGAGTGGAATTATGTAAACTTAATTATACTCACAAAAAATTTCAGGCAGGTTATAATTGCTTCGGCTAGTACAGGAAGATCCTGGTAAATTGCGGGAATTTTAAAACTTCCGTATTCCTGAAGACAATACGATTTTTGGTGCATCGTACACCAAAATAAAGATACCTCAGTACGATGGCCAAATGCACCAAAGCTTGCTAGATCTTTATGATCCGATATTCCATCTCTAAGACGAAGCATTATTCTCTGATTTAATACATCCCTCATGGTCCGAACTAACTTGTAATCATGGATAAAAAATTGAGTAACATCATCGAAATCTGGCGGTCCCGTCTGTTCATATATGAACACTTCCTCATGATTTTGCCAGAGACGGGCAAGACCATCTGCACGTTTTGCTTCTAAGACTTTGTCAACCATTGGGTTTATGTTAGCATTTCGTCGGTGCTTGCTACTTTCAACAGGGACTTCAAGGCTATAACAGTGTAATGTCATAATGTTAACTAATCACTGCAGATGGATATTATCAGGAAGGATAATTGAAATCACTTACATTCTCCAGTTGATATCAAGGATAGCCTTGAGTGTATTATTCAATATTGGACTTACAAATTGTGAGTTATATTGATTTTCTCCAAGGTCGCCTGATTTTAATATATTATATGGCGCTTTGAAAGCTTCAATACTAAAAAAAATAAAATCAAAATATTAACACAATAGAGTGAAAGCATAAAAGGATTATAAAGGCTTAAACATACTATGGAGTAAGAATATTATATATCGCATCTTTTATCACCAGCATCACCGGGTCTCTATTGCTTTCGTTTTTATCAGAAATTGCATAAAGTCCACGCCAAACTTCCATCCATTCTGCTAATGTCTTTTTTGGCTACTTGGACATCAATGAATGATAAAAATTCGCCCCAGAATGATTCATCTTTGTCCAGATTTTGCAACATACCTTGAATGTATCTTGTATTAAATTTTCCCATATTTCAGATATTTTGTATTCCGGATATGTGTTTGTCACGAATTTATTCCAAATTACTTCAGGAATTTTTTCTGTGAATTTTGAAGCAGGTCTAAGATCCATTATGTCACTATGACATAAGCTAATAAAAAGTGATAATAACAAGTAAGTCTATCTATTTTAAGTTCGTATAAACTACAGGTTGCAACTCTACTCACTCAAAGATATTATCGCATTCATTACAGTAATCCTCGAAAATTTCCTCTAAATCGACATCGTCTACCATCAGTGCTGTTCCTTCCACTTTCCCAATCATTGATTCCGCCACTTTTTGAAAGTCATCATCCGAATCTGAGTTAATTCAAGCAATTGTGTCAGCAACGTAGCGAATCTGTAGCACAAGCTACTCATTTGCAACGTACCACTAGCTATAGCATCATTCTCTTGCTTGTTAAATGGAACGGTTCTGATCTATGCATTCAAAAGTAGTCGTAGGGTTAGAAGCGCTTTTTAGAAAAATGAAATATTAAATTATATTCTGACCTTGTCCGGTGGTGTAGAAGGTGCCTCTTCCTCCAAATTCTCGTTCTTTGCATACAACTCATTCAACAGATCTTTTTCAATCTGCTTG